AAAGATCGACTATCTCCATAGAGGAGTAAACATGATAATAGATTTCCAAACCCAGACAAAACAAATGATATAAGAGATTGTAAAATATCATCACTTTTAAAAGCTCCACAAAGGAGAAACAGCTGAGATGTAACAAATCCTCATAATGAGGTAAAACGAGCCTCATATTGAGGTAAACGAGATCAAAAGGATGGTTTATGGATTGAGTCGGCTCAAGAAGTAAGGTTACAGAGTCAATACCTTTCAGAGGCAACATCCACTGTGGGTTAGAGCAAGTGTAAAAGACCGGATAAAATCGTAAAGAAGCCCCAAAAGAGTTACCGGAGAACCTCACCACGCCAGATCCGGAAGAGAACTTCAAATTATTCGATGTATACATGACAGATCCCAAATCCGGTGGATCTGGAGGGTCCGGCGGGACTGATGGAGTAGGAACAAGGGTTCCAAAGCACTTGATGGCCAAGGAGCGTGCAGAAGAAGCGGAAGGAGCGGACGGAGCGGAAGCTAGATCTGGGGGAAACTTCATGGAGAATCGAAACAAAGAGAAAGACGCCATCAGAAAGGAAGAGGAGGGAGAAAGAGGAGAGAAATTCTCACGATCCTACACTTCTTCTCTCTGTTTTACAAGGTACATTAAAACTACCAATGGAAGAAGATGAAGATAATTGGGAACAAGAAGAACAAGTTCTATCTGAAGAAGAAGTCGCCAATGGAGAGTCTTGTCAAGGGAAATCATACCACATTTATTTTTCAGGACGCCATCAAGGACCAGAGATGTACTTAAGATGGTAGAAAGACATGGAGGAATGGTTTCAAGCAAATCAAATTCCAGAAGAGGAGAAGACAACTATTGCTGAAGAAACCTTAATTGAAGAAGCTTTCCAACATTGGGAACTGGATGCTAACGTTAGAGGCCATCTTGGAGTTCCAGAATCCTCTTGGAAAGAAATGAAACAACTCTTACATGAAGAGTTTGTAGAAGAAGCTGACGCTGAGTCAACTACCCAAGTGCTAATGCCATTCGTTAGCCAAGACGATGGATTATGGCAATACCACCAAAGTTGCAAGATACCCCAAGCCAAGGTAAGTGTTCTAACTCTATAAATTTAAATACACCAACGTGTTATAGATGTAATAGGGGAAGCCATTCTGCTGACAATTGCCCTGAAAGACATTTAGCAAAAACAACTTTGCTAGATTCGAAATTGAATACTAGTCTTGTTCATTCAAGTTCTAAAAATTTCACTTCTAATATAATGCACTTGTCTCTGCCCAAGGTTGGTAATTCAGGTTTAAAAGGTGACATAGAGCAACATACAAAGAACAAAATGTGCCAGCCTGCCCCTGAAAAGAATGGAGTTTTCACCAGTTTCAGTTCAATACAAGAAGAACCACCAGATTACATGATGAAAGTCAAAACCGTGGCATCTACCAAAACAGAACAAGATGAGTGTTCTGATCAGGTAAGTAAATCTCTATTCAAGTTTAGTTATAATAATTCTCATTCTGCTAAAAAGATTTTGTTAAGGACAGAAGATTCTGAAGAAGAAAAGTCCTTAGTGTTGAAACATGTAAACATGATTAATAATCTTAAACTGCACTTCAGTGAAAATTTATTCAGAGTAATCGAAGCTAAATCATGTTTATTTGTTTTTAAACATTCCATGACTGCTATAATACACTTGTCTTTGCCAAAAAGTTTTGATCCAGGAATAAGACAAGAAGAAAGAGCAACAAGCAAAGAAGAAAAGCTACAAGAAAGACAAATAAAAAATCTGATTTGTCTAAAGAAGAATGTGAAAGAGAAAGCAGGGCCAATCATACTTCAACTTGCAAATTCAATCACTGTGAGTTTAAGTATTACAAAGCTTATTTCTTAAGTTTTAAATTCACATATGATGCACTTGTCTTTGTTTTTGAAAGACTATGCAGGTACAAAACAGGCCAATAAATACAATGTACAAGAGAAACCAAAAACGAGATTAGCATATTCAAGAGCTAAAGATGCTGAAAGAGGAGAATGTCTCAAAGAGAAACCCCCAGACCAGTCATTGCATCACTTCATTGCTATGAGAAATAAGAGCACGAAAGTTGATCTTCAAGTAAGTTGTTCTTTCACAAATATTGTGTCAAAAGAGTCAAAAATAATATTAGTGAGCTTGCTGAAATTAATAGAAAGTCAGAACCTTACAGCCTTTTATTTAAAGCAACTAATGAAAAACTTTGATACAATTTTTAAAGAACACATAATGCACTTGCTTCTTTTCCAAAGTGTTAAATTTATTTCAGGTACTCAAGAGATGAACCCCAAATAAGTTCCACCAGAGAAAGGATTGATGCTAAAGCAAGCTCAAAACAAAGAGACATCACCACCCAAGGTGAACAAATGGGTAAATGCTACAAAACAGAGGAGCAACGCCCCAGACCAGAGCAGAGGAGTTATTATATCCTACTTGATCAAAGGAGAACCCCCAGATGCCCAACATCAACTCCACCAGAGCACAAATCGTTTGCAAGGTAAGATCCTAATCTCTCTTTTAATTCATGAAACTAACTTGAGTTATCTATGTGCAGATATACTAGTTTTGAAGACAAAAATTTTTGAAGAAGGAGAGGATTACACAATATCGAGAATGCCATCAAACTTGGAGAAGGGGATCAATGGACATGATGGTCTAGCCAAGGGTAAATGAGAGACGATCTCCCTTGGAGAACATATCATGAATAAATGAGAGACTATCTTTCCTGATTTGTTCTTTCTAGACCTCAATCCCTCCATGCATTCAGACTCAACCAGGACCTTGAGAGATACTCAACTCACCTAGATTTCAACACGAAGAATATCAGCTAAAAAGGAGTCCATATGAAGAAGATATTGAAGATACAAGTTGGCAGATCTTCAATGAACCCGCTGGAGACATGCGACCACTAATAAATTCATTCCGGCCAAACGGCGACGAATCAAGCCACGATACAAGATGTTTTGGAAACTTAACTCATCAGAGAACCGATGTGAATTTGATTCATACCAAACAGAGTTCAAACGAAGGAGTTATTCATGTTCAAAGTCGGGTGAACCGGAGCTTACCCGTATTGGATATGCGAGCGGTTATTGGAGGTTTCCCACAGAACCAGAAGGAATTAAGCTACGAACCGACTTGTGATACAATCTTGATTCATGAGAGGACCGGGGAGAATTGGAATCATATCATTATTGGTTCTGATGTGAAAGTTATAGGATTTCTAAACCGGAGGAAGCTACACTTGCCTTATTTGGAGTCTACCGAGTTTGAGAGATTGCAAACATATCTTTGGCGACCAGGAATTAATCTCAACCATCTAGAAGCCTCTAAAGACGTCCTTAACTGCACCAGCATCCAGAGGAATAGTCGAATCCTTGCTCATTCCTACTTTCCTAATCCGGACATGTTCACATTTGGAGTATTCATTCACTAACGTTCCCTTCCTTTCTCACCAGCTGACAAGCAAGACTCACGCCAAAGACTATCTACACGAGATTTCAGTCTGGATTTAATGACCCTACACGTCCCAAGACATCACACATTCAGGCCAAAGCTCTCAAGAATCAAACACAATTTTTTATTACCTTATTTTGGCCATTTTTCTCTTTAAGGCCCCAACAGCTAGTTTTTGCATTAAGTTTATGAATTCATTCCTAGTTTAGAATATGGACGTTGTACTGAGCATCTATATAAGATCATCTTTTATTTCATTGTAAATCACCTTTCAATCAACCAAGAAAATATAAGTTTGTTCTTATTTTTATTCAAAGAGTATTTTTGTTTAAATTTTTGTCTTTAGATTCATTTGAGTAATTCATTTGTTTCTATTGATTCTTGGAATAGAAGTGTTTGTGAGATTCAGGCAAGTCTAGTTCCAAAGGCTGAGTGAGTCAGTCATCCAAAGATTGAGAGTCAATCAAATTTCCACCACCATTACTACATTCATCCCACTTCCGCCCCAAGTTAATTGATCAGTTTTGATCTCCATTTGTTCTAAGGTTGTGGAGTGATTCCCAAACTTGTGTCACTCCTTTAGCTTAACTCTTAATATATATACATTTATACATTTCATTTTCATAATTAATGAGATATATTGTTACAACAAACTCTTCTTCAATAATTTCAACGGAGTCAATGATGGGTCGGTTGGGGTCCAAGGGTCGGTTGGGGTCCAAGTGATGCAACTTTAGACGATGCGGCCAACATCGTCTTAGTCCATGGTCCCCCTCCCCTTTTTATTTATATATAATCGTGAGCTTCTCTCATTGGTTTCGTTATTCTGGTCAAACCGTAACATCCTTCCCCAAATCGATAAAATTCTTGTCCTCTGTCGGATCCTTCTTACACCGTCGATGTGCCGATCACATTAAACGTACGGCCTACGAATAGGTACGATGCATCGTTGATTGCGCTGCCACCTCAACCAACTATCCTTCTTACTTTTCTATGTGTTTCCACTATTACTATGAAAAACAAAAAACAAAAATGTACAGTATATTTTAGACCAGTGAGACTAAATCTTAGTCACCGTGAAATTTTTATCTGTATGGCCTCTTTATCGTCGTCACTCAACCATTTCAAGATCTAACGTAGACAAAAGAAACCATCGATTGGGTTTTACCAATGTACGAATTTCCTAAAGTAGCTTTTGCAGTTTTTCATTTACTACATTTTCATATATTTGGTTCCACACTAATTGAGAATTATGATAATAACGACTTTGCTAGATGTTGTTCTAGTAGTTTGAAACATGGAAATTAAAGAGTTAAACAAGTGATAAGAATCACAGATGCAATGATTTACATGTGAACAAGTGATAAGAGTAAAAGAGTTACATGTGAACCTTAGAAACCTCTAACCACAAGATATTAGCAAACCACCTCGAAGATAAGAACCAATCGACACATTGTGTAGAATCAAACAGGTTTTGTATAAATCAAACACCATCAAACGAGGATACAATATATCATATAGTTCTTAGTCCGCATGCATATCCATTGATGAATCAATAGAACCTGGAGAGTTAGATCCCCTGTTCAGCTCACTGCTCCTGGTTCCACCGGATATGTAGCCTCCCTGCGGAATCTGGTAGTTCTGAAGACTCCGGCGTATAGGACTCGAAAGGGCGTTTGAGAAAACCGAGTTCTTGGCCTGGTTTTCACACTGCTCAGACCGAACCACTGGAACAGCTGCTGGGTAAGAGGGTCCTGAAGAGGCCATGAGCCCGGAATTCGCCACATGCATCGTTGGTTGAGGCGGCGGCGGCGCTCTTGGGGACATTGGTGGCTCCTCTATGCAGCATTCGAGCTCGTTCTGCATTTTGGTGAAACAAGAAACTCAATCAATAACAGAAAACAGATCTGATGAGGATCCCAAGTTAGATAGATAGATAGATGGAAGTCATATGAACCTGAATGTAACTGATTATATCCATAGATGTCACCCTTGACCCTCCTTCTTGTTGTCTCCATATCCATTGGTACAGTTTTTCCTGAAACATGGAAGATGAGCAGAACATTCTCATTAGGATATTTATTTACATTCAGTGTGTTTTTCTATTGTTCCTAACTTAGCTGCAACAGAGCTCCTTAATGCATAAAACAAGCAATAGTTGTAAAATCTATACAGTTCTATCTAACCATACCCTATTTAACATATTTATCTCGTGCAGTATGTTCATCTTCCAAGTAAAAGTTTCACATCACAAAACAGTTCATTTCCATATCAAATAGAATTTAAGTACACTATAAAGAGACAAGAACATGCAATACAATGTTACTCTAGTCGTCAACATCTTATATTTAAAACAAAAATAGGAACAACCACACTCAATATAGCGGAGGAGACCACCGAATAAAAGAAAATGCTTACCCTATTATCTTAAGACTAGGGTTCAAATTCATGTAGCTAAGAAGCACGAGTAGAGAAAATATTAGAACTAGAGTTGAAGAATATGGAGGAGATAGAAAAGGGTGGGAAGAAACAAAGAGTTGCAAATTCGGTAAAGGCTGATGGGGAATTACAGAGACTTAGCACCCTAAAGATCAACATGAAGAAGACGAAGGAGTAGTAAATAAAACACTGATTTTTGGACAGTCAATGGGAGCGAATGTCAAGAAGGAGTATGAATTGAACATATAGCTAAGAATCAACTACAACTTATTTCAAGCAACAGAATCAAACATGTCACAAAATCTTTACTACCAATAAAAAAAACCATGTAAACAAGAAACTAAACATGCCTTCACTTCTTTAGCTTTGGATGCAATGACACAGAAACTTCCAATTAAAAGAAAAAAAAAAACAAATCTTTATGTACGGACACAACTCCATAAGAAGAAATCTGTGGCTCCCCACAAGAATTAAGATGAAAAACAATTGGAAAACCTATAAAAACAAAATCTCTTTTTCAGTGTTACATTTACAATTTGGAATCAATAGGGACCTAGACACCTAAGTTATCATAACGAAAATTAACACATAGCGCAAGTTAATATCACACACTAGTAACAATACTCAACAGATTAGTCACAGAATTGAAAAAATCAACAGCTTTAGCTAAAAATTAATAAAAGTGAACTTTGCATCTTAAACTAGTCTTAAGCCATGTTCAAGACAATCAATAATTGTACACGAAACACCAAAATCACAATGCAACATATATCGTAAACTCATAACAATACTAAATAGATAAGGCATAATTGATAAAACTAAAAACTCCTGGCTAAAAATCAAAACTTTAAATCAACAGAAAATGCAAAGAGTCTCAAGCCCTGTTCTCAGAAATCGAAATCGGTAAAGGAAAAACAAAGCTTTCAAATTGAATTTACCCTAATAGATAAGAATCATAAACAGTCACAAAGAGAGAGAGAGAGAGGGTTAATCCATACCAGACCGTGGCGTTCGCCGGCTTGGAAGGATAGTTTCTGGTGGTTCATGGACTGAGTGTAGAGCTGAGATAACGAGTTCGCGGCGGTTCGAAACGAGGCGTAAACAGTCCGATCTACCTCATCGAGGCTCGTCGCTGTTGATTTTCTCTTCTTCCCCATCCCTTCAAAATTTCTTCTTTACCCGCTCGAATCTGATTTCGCCTAGAAATTAAACGGCCACGATTTCTCCGTCGGCGATGAACGGATGGTCGTCCTTCTCTCGACCCGTTTCTCCAGTATCGATCGGCGATTTTGATAAATTATAAAAAGAGAAGATTGGGGACAAAGAGGGCACTTCTCACTTTATACGAAACGGTGAGAGACCAAGAAGGTTTTGCTTTTGTTTTTTAATTTACATTAATTTTAAGATATAAAATATTTTTCCTTTTTCGTTTAGGACATTCAGTTTATGTACATAATCTGTTGATACGACTGGTCTTGTAAATCGAGTTGCGGTCGGCCTGATCCGACCCAAAATCCATAAAACAACAAATTTAGATGAAAATAATTTGGATCAGTTCGATATTTCTTCGGTTTATAATTTTTAAAATCTGGCCCAATCCGAATACAACAACTATAGGATCACCCTTATCATGTATCCATCTCCTTAATTATTATCCCTCTCATATTTTGAAATCTTTCATTGGTTTTACATCTTTTCCGATACTGATTTCTTTATAAAACTGTTGGTGTATAAATTTTGGGTCAACGTCAAGTAGAACAACGAGATTCGGCGCAGGGGAAAGAAAAAAGACAATAAATACGAGAAAAGGAAAAGTTTAGACTAAAATCATGTGCGGTTAAAGAAACCGATGAAATAAGAGAAAAAGAAAGAGAAATCAATGCCATCAATAGCGGATTAAGCTTAGTTAAGCTTAGTTAAAGAGGACAAGAAAATGGAAATCCAAGTATAAAACAGAGGAGAAGAAAAGCAAATAGGGGCATCTCAACACTTACAAACTTCACTGAACACTATTTTTTAAGATTTTTTATTGTTTACCAAAGAAGTAAAACATCTCACATGTTCAAGTTAAATTTCTTTATATTTTTTTAATTTACTTTAATTTCTTTTAATTATTCTATGTTTTTTATTAAATGAGATATTATATTATTTAAAGTCATAATATAGTGCGATGTAGTCTAATGGCTAAAGTTCTACCGGCTTCTTGTAACTTTTCAAGACAAGGAGCTAGTAAAAGATGGAAAGAGCCCGATTGTTAAGGTTTATATTTATAATCTATGAATGTTCTTAGTTTTTAGTTTGATTTTTTTATCTAAACTATTCTCACTTGTTGACAAAAAAAAAAACTATTCATACTTGGCAAGTCGAAATAGGCTATTCACGGTTACACTTACCTTACAAAAATTAGTTGACTGTAAAAAACTGAATTACCCATTGGTTAAGCAAAAAAGCTAATGAATTAATTTTTAAAAGAAATTTTCTTATCAACAAATGATATGAAATTGTATTGTTGATTAGTTTTTACGTGATTATTTTGTTTATTTTTCCTAAAAACATTTTTTATAAGATATTTTTTTATATTTGTAATCTTTTTCGGTAATTTATAAATTAGAAATATTTTGCCTCTATTAAAAAAAATGTTCCGGCTCCACCACTAATGGCTGCTTAGGAGTGAAAATTCACTACTAAAATCTAGAATTCGAAGAGATTATAGTAAATTTAGATATTAAATCTTTGATTGTTTTCTTTTTACCATCAACAATATGGTGTTGTTTGTAGAGAGAAAGGAAGTCTAACACCATGGTGTTGTCTATGAAGAGAAAGGAAGTCTAACACCAACTGCAAAAGATGGTAGAAGATGTGAATTCTCACATTAAAAATCCATGTAGAATATCTTTAAAGGATATGGCACCACTCATAACTTGAATCAGATATTTCTCAATATGGATACAACTAATTCAAAATACTAATGCATATAGATCGAATCGATTCAATGGTGGTTTAGGGGCGAAAATTCACCACTCCAGTTTGGAATTCATTCAGAATTTGTTCAAGAAAATAATAGCAAATTTAGAATGTTGAGCTCGAATGTTTATTAGGAAGAGAGTACTACACCTATGATAGACTGTGTGGTCGAAGAGATATTGAGAATTCGTTTCACCGAGAAAATTTGAAAAAATAGAAGTAAAAAATGTTGGGAATACTTTGGAAACTTCAACTTCCAATATCTTCTACCTATTAATTAAGAATGTAATTTAATGAAAATTGCTGATTTGTTTTAAATTGATTGGTTAAAATCCTTTCTCTATCCTAATTAAATGTGACATGAAAATGATGATGTGTAATGATTATGTAATTGTGACATGGCATATACTAACACATGTGGTTTATGACATGGCAAAAAGTTTATTTTTGTGATATTTTCATTAATAAAAAAATTAATTAGATGATAAAATTTAGTGTAAAGCATCTCTAATCTACCTCTATTTTAGAGGAAAAAATAGAGTTTGGAGGAAAATTTTCTCCAATCCACCTCTATTATTCCTCTAAAATAGAAAATGCTATTTTTTCCTATATATTTGGAAGAACTCTATTTCTTCCTCTATAATAGAGATTAACTTTTATATTTATAAATTAGTCTTTCAACTTTTAAATCTTTTTAGTTTTATTTGCATAACAATATATAAATTTAATTAACTGTTTATATAACTTATTTTTATATATTTAGTGAACAATCATCTATCTAATGTATAATATGACTAAATATATAATGTAAAATTATGAAAATATATAATATAATTAAATATGAACTTTTTTCATTTCAAATTTAGTCCTTGATAATTTTATAAATTAAAATATATTATGTTTTATGTGATGTAATGTTATGTTCTTTGTATAATAAATATTTAATATTATTATAATTATATGAAAGTTTTTTGTAAAAAATAAAATAAATAAGGTTAATTTATGAACTTTAGAAACAAAATGTGTTACTAATAAATTAGAAAAATAATATTCTAATAATATTCTTTTTTAGAGGAAAAAATAGAGGAACACATTGGAGAGAGATTTATCTCTATTTTAAGGGAGAAAATAACAATGTACATTGGAGATGGTCTTAGACCGCAATGATTCGCCGGATGCATTACGAATGGCCTGATATTATTATTCATCTATATGGGTAACAGTAGATGAATTTTGGGCTGAACGTGATGATTTTAATACACACACACATATATATATATATTATAATACTATACTATATACCTATTAAATTTACTATAGCTCTGTCGTGGACCACTAGATACATATATATCTATATATATATATATATAATAATAATATTATATTCATATGGAATACGTGCATATATATTTTTATATACTTCAGTAGGCAAAATTATAATAACAAAATCACATTGATCAAATCGTTTACCTAATAATTTATACTTTTCGTAAAGGCGGTGCTCCATTTACGTGCACATATATTTTTACATACTTTAATTGGTAAAATTATAATAACAAAATAAGATATTATTGTGATCTTCTGTAGAACATTCAAAATTTAAAAATATTAATTTAGTTTAAAAATAATAACAAATATAAATAAAAAGATTTTGATTTAATAATCCTCTACATTATTTTTGTAACAAATGTTGAATATCCTAAAAAATCAACGTGCATCTAATGAAAAACCAAAATCATTATCCTCTAAATTATTTGAAAAGTTAAATGTCCATTTAATAAAAACCAAAAATATCCATCTAAAATCATGTTCATCTCAAATAACTAATGAAAAGGTTAAATACTCGGATCCTTATATAAAAAAACATCATAACACACATGCGTATTAAACAAATCAAACCCTAACTCAAAGTGCCGACATGACAATTCTACCAATTCATTTATCTAAATCGAATATGGCAAAAATGAAACTTGAAGGTTGTATAGACTCCAATTGTGAGTGTAATGAAGCAAGCTTTTATCGCTACACTGAATTTCCAAACAAATGGGTTTGACGTCAAAAAATTAAGAAGTGGCTCCCTCGCAACACAAAAAACAATGTTCTCTACGATATCAGCCTTCCAGAAGTCTCAGAAGAATATGGTGAGATTTTCTACCTTAAAATGTTGCTAAATGTTCAGAGATGAACAGTATGTTTCGAAGATATCAGGACAGTAAACATAGTTTTATATTCAACTTTCTCTAAAACATGTCTTGCAATAGGGTTAATTGAAGCACTTGATTCTTAAGTAGAGATGGTCTTGCAATTATTTGTAGAGTCTACTTGATAAAATTATAAGTAGAAAAATCGCACATATGAGTAGTCAAGACCAACAATGACGGAATCCTTGAAGAAATAATGCTTTAAATTGAGGAAGATTATAGGAAGACAAAGAAAATGAAAAACGTTTGTTCAAAAAAAAAAAGACAGAAGATAAAATTTGCAGCCTGATCCGCAAATTCGATGAAGGTAACCAGCTATCCATGGGTTTGACCCATTTGACCCTCTAACATAACGGTCAAGTTTTACAAAGCCTGATCATGGAAAAGTATTTTTTGTGTTTTCCAAATTTAATTAATATTTTTCAAGTCTGTCTCAAAATATAAATGAATATTTGTTTAGTTAAAATTAGATCATATTTTACTACTTAACTTAAAGTTTTATAATTCAAAACACTGGCTTTGAGTTTCATATACTACAAAAAATTAAACTATTTAAAATGTATTTAGATATTGTATTTAGATAATTACATTTTTAAAATTGTTTATGCACACATGTGCAGGCCAATATCCTAGTATTAAGTACAATAAAACCCAATATGGCATATGAACGTATTTAGGATCGCCGTCAAATGAGCTTATTTGGAAGAAGAAAAAAGAGGCAGGTTTGTATAAGCTCTTTGAAAAAGACCTCACAAACCAGGCTCTGAATTAAATTTTGAAAATCAAAGAACAGTCAATTGATAGCTCCATCTAAATATCCATTTTTTTCGTAAAGCAGTACTTAATGTATATGTAGAAAGTCACTTTCGGTGTAGATCTTTGAGCATTATCTCAAAAGCCTAAGGTGCCACTCCATACGCAATTAAACAAATTCAAGATATAATGGCTAAAATGTCACGATGCACAATAATACCACACTCACGACTAAAGTA